CCGCGTGGCGAGGCAGGCCCTTGTCGCCTTTTGTCGCCCCTTGCCGTCCACAACACTGGGAGGGACTTCAATGACTAGGAAACTATTAAGTCATTGAGTTCTTCAGAATGTTGGAGGAATTTATAGGTATCAGTGAAGAAAAAGACCGACTTTGGTGGAAATTGGATAGCTAAGGTAGTTTCAAGGTTAACTCTTCATACAAGTTTTTGAACCAAGGAAATCTACAAAGACAACATTGGTCGTGGAAACATATATGGAAGATCAAAATCCCTTTCAAAGTTGTCTGTTTTACTTGGTTATTGACAAGAGAGGTTGTTTTGACATAAGAGAACCTCAAAAAGAGAAAGTTTTCCTTGTGTTCCAGATGTTACCTTTGTGGGAACAGGTTGAGATAGTTAGCCATCTGTTTCTACAGTGTAGGGCAACTACTCAGTTGTGGAGAATCTTTGTTAGCCTTAGGGGTATTAGTTGGGTCATGCCTAACAAAATAACTCATTTGCTATATAGTTGGGAGGAAGCAGGAGTAGGAGCTACTGACAAAGACAGATGGAGGATTGTCCCGACTTGTATCTGGTGGACAATATGGGAGGAAAGGAATTCAGATGTTTTGAGAGCAAAAATTGTGATCTACAGATGATCAAACTAAATTACGTTAGACTTTTTTGTTTCTGGTGTAAACAAATATACTTAGAGGACACTTACTCAATTATAGACATTCTAGGATCTTGTTAGAAGTACAGTCAATTAGATGTTTTTTTGATTTTACTGTAAATATGGTTTAAGTGCAACCCATGTACTGACTTGTCAATAAACACAACTGTTACCTTCTCAAAAAAAAAAAAGATGCTCTTAATAAGAGCAAGTGGACTTTAAAAGAACCCAAGGTTACTGAGGAAGATGTTGTGAAGAATTAGCTTTCTGTGAAAATTCACCACGTAAGGATTTCAACCACTCTAAAGAAAAATTAAAAAAAAGTCTCAAACAAGCTTTATTAAATCTCAATACTTATGCAGAATCAAAAATGAATTATTAGATACTGTTGCCTCACATGATGAGTCATCTAGCAGCTATGTTAGATCTATCAGGAACAACATAAGCATACCTCCTTAATTAAAAGGAAGTGTCAACACACTTCTGTGATAAATTATTAAAGGAGGAATTATCAAAAGGTGGACTCCACATACAAAAATCATACCACTCAAGTTAAAGGTGGTGCAAACAATAATAAACAACAAGTTCCAAGGCTTCCAAGGCTGCTTTATGTTGAAATTTCAGCATAAGAAAGTACCAGCATATATTAACAATTAATATGTCAACAATTAGACAAAGAGGTGAATTAAATACTGTAAGGATCAAAATTCCATGACACAAAGTGACAAAGGTCCAAACAATAAGAAGATACATGTTTCAAGACTATTTTCAGGAAAATATATTTACAATAAGGATATACATATTCAACAAAAAGATACATGTACGTACTTCCATCTACGTGGCATAAATTCTCAAGCCACGTATAGTTATCAGTTATGTATAATAGTTAGTAGGGAAAAGGATCAAAAATACCCCTCAACTTTCGTTTATTATTTGATTTTACCATTGTCGTTAAAATGAAGTTAAATTCCCCCCCCCCCCCCCCCCCCGTGTTTAATTTCACCAAAATTACCCCTCATTTAACAGAATCCCCAAAATTGATCCAAATTACCCGATTTTTTTTTAAAAAACCCTATTTCTTATTTTTTTTAACCCAATACCTAACCCCTCTAGAGGATAACCCAATTCCCTATTCTTCAACTTCTCTAGAGAGTATGGTAGGAGAGGGAGAAAAGATGACTGCAGTTGAACAAAAGCTTTCTACTCCTCTATGAAGTGCACTGGGAGAGGGAAACAAAGTGACTATGGTCAATCGAAATCCGTAAGCTCCTCCAAGGAGTATGTAAGGATAGGGAAACAAGTTGAATGCGAATTTCCCTGAACCATTCAAATTCTTGAAAAATCGACAGCGACCACCAGACCGTGGAGAAGAACAAGGCGAAGGATGAAACCCATCATTCGATATCATGATTCTAGGGGTAGGTTGTGGAAATTAGTTGAACTTATTTGCGTTTGAAATGGAACTAAGAGGAGGTGTTGAAGGTGCAAATGACCAGTTCGATAAAAATCCTAATGAATCATCTCCTTATCACCTTGGTTTTATATAAGTAAATAACCTGTGATTTTTGAAGCATTTCCCTGAATCATTCATCTCCTCCAAGGAGTGCTAGGACAGGGACAGGGAAATCAAGTGAACGTGATCAAAGACCTTCCAAGGTTCACTCTCTTGAACCCTCAAAAATGATAAAGAAAAAAGGCACCGCTGCCACCAAAGAGTGTTCAGTCTCTTAAATTGGATTCCTCAAGTTACAAAATGAATTCTGTTTTGGCAAAGCATGCTCTTCCTGCGCAGAGAAAGCTCAAGCTGGTAAAATCTTCACCTAAGATCTTAGGAGGTGTAGATGCAGGAGTCAAAAAAGTCAGTGTTGTTAATTCTAGAAAACAAAAAATTGTGTCTTAAAGTATCTGCAGAGAAGTCTTTGAAGATCCCAACCGAGTTATCCTCTAGAGGGTTCGGGCGGGTCGGGGCATCAGGTTAAAAAAAGGGAATATAATTTTTTTAATTTTTTTGGATAATTTGGGTCAATTTTGGGGATTCCGTTAAATGATGGGTAATTTTGGTGAAATTAGTAATGGAAGGGGTAAATTTAACTTCATTTTAACGGTGAGGGGTAAAGTCAAACAATAAATAA